TTTAAAAAATGTATTTCCATTAAAAAAAAAAAATATCAAAATTGCGATTTTTTTTTTAAGGGGTTTTTTTTTTTTTTTTTTTTTTTTTTTTTTTCCCCCGTGTGCATCATGTCAGAAGGTGAGAAATATTTCAGAAAAAGTTTTAAAGACAAGAAAATGCACGTCCTAGGTGACTGAAAATATCGTAAGGTGGTGTTACAAGTGGAAAACCAAAGTTTCAGAAAAAACTGTTTTTAAATGTAGGCCTCGAGGGTCTGGGGGATCCTGAAACCTTTAGGACACCGGCCCTCAAGAGCTGGAGTTGAAGACCCCTGGTCCAAAGCTTAGATGTGACATATAGCAGCATGAAGCTCTATCAAACCAGCACCCTACCTTCAGATTTATTATGTTTATTGGAGATCCCACTTTATCTACATGTATGCACATTCATCCAAGAAGTTTGTTTGTAGATTCAAGTTGGGGCTCACCTACTGAGAAACTGACACTTCCAGTTGAAAGAAACATGTTGATAAAAGATTTAATTTAAAAGAGTACTTCAAATTAAAAATAAAATAAAGTTCGGGCAAGTTTTAGCATTGAGAAAAAAATTGAAGGAAAACATTTCAATGGAGCGACTGATTGGAAGCATGTAGCACTTTTTTTTACTTTTTATACTTTAAGAAGCACCTGTGGTTGCCTCAATGATCTAGCTGTCGGCTTTGCTAGAGATGTCCTTTGTTGTCTCTTCTGTTGGTGACAAGACCTACCTTTCTACATTGTACTTGTTTTGTTTTGTGGGGATTTTTAAGTATATTTGATTTAAATTTCATGTTTCTGACTTTTAGGTTTTCTGAATGAAATGTGATTTAAATTTGCCCCTCAAATTTTAGCAGTGGTGATGTTCAACATGTCAGTCTTTATCTGGGGTCCTTGTTTCACAGGCTTTGGTGGAAGTTGGAGACAAGCAGGCGTCCTTCGTGGGGTCCCGTCAGTGGATTGGATCCATCGAGGTTCAGGCTGTTCTAAACCATCTGCTTGGAGTCACATCCAAAATCATGTTTGTGAGGTGAGGTGGGATTCCTTGACAAACCCTCAAGGAATTTATTTTGTTGATGATGTAGATGAATTTGACATAACTTTGTCATCTTTAGTCAAGGTTCTGAGTTGGCATCCAAGGGGAGAGAATTGGCTAATCACTTTATGACTGAAGGAACTCCTGTCATGATTGGTGAGCTGATACTCCAGCCTAAGATTAGCATGATTGCTTCTTTTGAGACATCCTGATATATATTACAATTATTATTGTTTTTGTCCTGTTGAAAAAAGACATAATATAATGTTTAAATGTGCTGTTAAAAGTAGTTAGAAACCATGGCTAGTCAGAATTTACTAATGGTATCTTTTTGTTGTTGTTGTTGTTTTATAGGTGGGGGAGTTTTGGCTCACACTATCTTGGGCGTAGCTTGGAGTGAGACCACTGGTGAAATCCGCTATCTTATCCTAGATCCACATTACACAGGAGCAGAGGACCTTCAGGTTATCACAGAGAAGGTAGCAGCTACAGAAAGCCACCACTTCAGATATATCTGTGAACTGAAAAACATTTCATATACCAGTCGTGATCTTAACGTGAATGTTGACTTCCGCAGGGCTGGTGTGGCTGGAAAGGACCAGACTTTTGGGATCAAACTGCATATTACAACCTCTGTTTGCCCCAGAGGCCGAGAGTGATTTGAGCAAATGGACAATGATGGAAGGCTATAAATTTGAAATTTAATAAACAGTATGGAGTGTTTATTTAAATAATTTTGGCTGAGCTGGTATTCGCATAGTCAGAAAGAAATGTTAATATTATGTCTATTTCAAAGAATTTCCTCATTCTTTAAAAATACTGTTTTGCTCACTTTAATTAAAAACTTTAGAATAAAAAGGATTTTCACTTTGCCTTGTTTGTATGTCTCATTGTCTCCAGTAAGTCGGAAGTATTATCCTTGTTAAGGTCAGATTTCATTACTAAGGGCTTTCTGTTTGTCCACAAACATTATCTCAATCCATCCCTATCTCTACACTGGCATATAAAGGTTTTATGAGTAGTTAGGTTTATAGAGTGGCCCAGTACTATTGTCCTAGGACGTCAGTATCCCATGAGTGTATCACTTACGTGTAGTAGTATGTAGTAAATAGTAAAACCATGACGAATTGTAATTTCAGGGGACGCGCCTTCAGATAATCCCCTGTCTTGTTAAAGGAGATGCTCTTTAGCAGAATAGATTCCCAAGCAAAAATAAACAAAAAACTCACCCATGTTTTGCATGCTATATTGGTATCCATATTTGCCCAAAATATTTTACCGCAAAGGTGCTTCTCTCCTGGAGTTTTATTTTGAATGTATTTGCTTGAGCAGTTTAATGTCGAACATATAGTGTCTTTAATGGTATAAAGCTCTTTACAATGTAGATTTTCAAAAAATTTTTAAAGGAGGTTCTGAATAAATATTTGCTAGTTTGTGGTGTTTGAATTAATTCAACATACACATTAACAACTGGCAGTTAATAAATGTAATATCAACAGTAAAGATATTTCCATTGGCAGTACTTTGCTATAAAATATTCCTATTTGCCCATTTATTTAAAAAAATTATCCGCATTCGTTTAACATTATATCTTTTTACTTGGACAGGCCATTTAAATAATTTCGTGACAGGTTTTCAACAAAAAGCCCAAATAAAAACTGAGGTTTTTATATAGGCTTTTTTGTGTAAAATACTATGAAACAATCTCATGTCTACCTAAATCCCAGTCCCCGATTCACTGTGTAACCGTTACCAGGAAATGACGTTACCTAGCTACTAGCAGCGTCGTCTGTTTGTGCGCACTGGCGACCTGCCGTAGTTTCCGGGGGTTTTAGTATTTGTCAAGCGAAATGGGTAGAGTAGGACGTCTGACCCGTATACAACAGAAACGTTAAAACCTGTGCGCCGCAGTTCGACAGGTAAGACGCTACGTTGGGTTTTAGCTAAAGTAAACATTGTTGAGTTACCTACTACGGCCATATCTGCCAACTGCTATATGTTTTAAGATGTTTAGATGTAGATTTTAGCTTTATCCCATGTAAAACTTTAAAACGTAAGTTAACTCTTCCATCGTACCGTGGGTACTGTAACCAGTGTCTGACTTCTAGAAACGCTAAATAACTTTATGTTAACATTTTAGTTTTATTAAGTTGTGTCAACTATTTGGAAGCGTTTCTGCCGAACCTTGGTCTTCGGGTTACATTATCCTGCAATGATTTCCCCTGTGTTTTAGCTCTGTCACGATATGACTTGTAAAAAAAAATCAGAGGAACGTTTTGGAAAGGACTGGGCAGCTGCTATCACTGCTATTCACATTCAGCTAGAAGAGCAGAACGGTTTGCTTGTTAAAATGCCTGAGACTACTATTTTCTCGTGGTTACCTCCAAGGACAAATGCTCCCATCATCACTTTGCATAATGTGGCTTCAGAGGCAAGACAGAGTGTAATAGTATTGCACTCACAACAATTTATTGAATCATCCAGAACTTTAAGAAGAGAGTGACTCAGTTGTTTTGCTTCAAGGTTCCCAAGAAAGTACTGCAAGTGCCAGGATTCAGCGAAGGGATTGGCTCTCTAAAGATTACCATTGTGGCAAAGTTGTTTCAGTTGACCTGCCTCTATCCAAAGAGAATACTTCAAAAATGGTTTCCTCTTTTTTAAATATAGTATTTTTTATTTAATCTCTCATACATACTGCTTTTGTGGTAGTAGCTAGCAAACACATGAGGGGAAGGCAACACATTCTAAATGTGTTGAAGTGTCATGCAAAGTTACTTAATCTGTTTCACATTTAAAAAAAAAAATACTCCAACTTCAAATTAACATTGTGCTCACAATAACCTGCAGGTTCTCTGTTGGGGAAGGCTGCCATGTTCACCTCTAGTGAACTGGAAGGGGAAGTGGACCACTCCTTTTTTGACAGTGATGGGGAAAGTGGAAGAAATGTTGGAGAGAAACGAGAGAAGGACTCGAAGATGAAAAAGCGAATTTCAAGCACACTTCAGAGAGAATCTGTAAAACACTCCGGACATCTCGCTGAGAAGACAAAGAGAGACTTGAAGGAAGTGGAAAACAACAAAACTGATGCATCATCGATTTCTTTCATACCGGATGAACCTATACATGAAGGCAAAGATGAGTTAAATCTGCACTCTGAAAGAGCCAGTGGAGTATTTCCGACTATGCTGGCCGACATTCCAAATGATGGGGACTACAAGGGGCGGAATGACACAAGAAAAAGTGCCTTAGCTTTCCCAGCTAACTCAAAAGAGGCAAATGAGCAATCGCCTGGAAAACTGGTCAAAAATCAGCATCCCAAAAATTCTCCTCCCACTTCAAATGAGGCTAGCACCGACGCAGATTCAGAGAGTTCTTTCAGCAGTCAGAGAGGTATTTTAAACTCCTCTAACCTTTCCAAACCCACCAAGTCTTTTGTACGCCGTAAAACAAGAGGGACCAGACGAGGCTCAGCTGAATCTCAGGATTTGCCTAACATGAGCACAGATGAGTCAGATGGCTCAGTGACAGACGTGAGTCCCCTCTCTTCTCCTGACTCTGGTTCACTCCAGTCATTAAGTTCAGAGGCTGTGAAAGAAGGTCATGAAGCGCAGCGGGAGCCGAAAACTCTGCCCTCCGGTGCCTTCAGCAACCTTCATGAAGCGGTGGACTCAAATCCCGATGTGAATGAGTGTGAGTAATGCTTGCTGTGTTCTACCTACCTGTGCATTAGCCTGCTAGGTAGATGCACATGTCTCAGTAGGTTTGTACTTGTGGGTCGGTGGGTTGAGCAGCATTCTGTGAGATGCTCAAAGCTGAGGATGTTGCGCAACCTCAGGATGCTTCGACTTGTCAACTTGTGTCTGCTGTGTTCCTTGGACTTCTTGATGCTGTTCGCAACATCCGAGGCCTTCATAGAACAGCAGGATTTATTCTGAAATTAATTCACTCACAGGTGGACACTGTTTACAAATTAGGGAACTCCTGAAGGCAAGTTTTATCTGCATTTTAATTAGGGATATATGAGATGAGCAGGTTGAGTACAAAAGCATGCCAGCTTTTGGATTAAAAAAAAAAAAACTTTAATGAACAAGTAAAAAAAAAAAAAAAAACCAAAATGAGTTTGACAAATCATGACGAAATGTGAAAAAGGGACTCTTGACTGAAAGACGTGCCCCTTGATGTACATGTTTTGTACGTTTATGTTGTTTTTTGCATGTCTTATTGTCATTTTTCAGTTAACCCAGCAGAGCATTATTCACAAGCCTGTTAAACGCACAAACTAGACAAATGTGCTTTCTCCTCCTTCAGGTTCATCTGGATTAGAAAGCCATCTTGAACAAAAAATGGTGCTCCAGATTTCTAGAGGGGTTGTTCGGAAGAACTACTCATTTTCCAACGATGAGGTCCGTCGCATTGATTTTGAGAACAAGCGGCTCCTTCAGGCACTGTCAAATATTTCATCAGGGTCCAAAGCAGAAAAATGTTCAAAAAAGAGCACTTCTGTGGCCAAAGGCTCTTCAGTGGGTTTTTACGCACATAGTGCACAAAACAGGGACCGACAACAGCGCCGCATTCAGCAGGAGAACCTGGTGAGTTGTTTTACATTTTGATTGACGTTTTTCTAGTAAGTCAGTTAGCAGTAACTGACTTACTAAGCAAACGCACACACACATAACCTTGTGCTGTACAATGAATGCATGCATGTCTGTAGCTTGGCAACGCCTGAGCTGATGACTTCTAATTCAGCATCAACAGTTGCTATCAAAATAACACATGGTAAGAGTCTCGGTATCATAAACCTAATCATGTTTTAGTGCACACTAATGTTTTTTGATTTTACTGGGAGGATTCCAGTAATCTTCCCAGCATCAAGCACTGGCTCTCTTACTTCATCATGTAAGCTGTTTGTCTGTAACGCTACAAAAACAGAGTGGAATGATGTTTTGACCTGTGTTATACTGCTGCCTGTTCAAAAATAATGCAGAGCAACCTTTTCATTAAATCAATCAATCAAGTTTATTTGGATAGCTCATTTCACCAGCTAGGCCGGTCAAAGTGCTTTACACAGCAAAAACACAAAATTACAAAGTTATAAAGAAAACAACATGAAATCAACAACTGAACAAGCATTACATTAAAGTATGTGACTGTTTCAAAACAGGGAGCTATGTAATTGTTGTAGGTTGTTCTCGAGTGATCTGTGTGCACCTAGCAACATTCTGTGAGTTTTCCTGGCCTCTACTATATCTGCTGTTTTACCTCTAAATTAAACTCATTGAAGACACTTGAAGCCGCATCTTCTCAGTGTTTATAATCGTACAGTCATTGTTCAGGCAGATGGTGCTGCTGTTCAGGCTTCTGGGTGCTCATTAATATAATTTACTTTAATGATTTTGAAGGATTTCATGACGTTGGCCACTATTAGTCACTGCCTGACTCACCTTTCCACTGCAGCCAGCTCATTCTCATGACAATGGAGAAGGGATCCCCTCTTAAATGTATCTTGCTGACTGGATGTTTACAGTGTTTAATCGTGATTTCATGAAATATATCCATCATTAAGGTTTAGTTGGGGTCGGTCTGAGAACACACCCACGAAAGCAGATACTGATGAACTTTGATAGATGGCAGCAGGTGTCCGACTTGCAGCCATACTACTGAGGAACATTATGATTCTTTTCTGCCAGCAGATTTTTCCAGTCTTCATATTTCATCTATTTATTGTCTTATTTATCAATAACATTCACATTTAGATGATCAAGCACTGTTAAAAAAAAAAAAAAAAAATCTGTCTGGATTGAATTAATTGCTGGTAACTAACGGTGTGCTACAAAGTTATGATTCTTGATATCTTCACAGGTTTGTTACATTCTTCATATATTCATAGTTTATCGTAATTCTGGTAAATGCTGTTAAAATAGGAGGTGCTTCAGTCGTTTTCAGGACAAACTGTTCACTCTGAAGTCCGTCTTGTGAGGAGTGCTTTTCGCCTCCTCTATTCTTAGAGTGGAGTAATTGAATCTGCCGTGTGGTCAGAGTATTCTCCGGCACATCACACTTGTAACACGCGTCATTTGGTTTATAAAAAACTGAAAATGCAACCAGTTGATTAAAAGGAGGTTTTTAACTGTTGCTTAAATGCAGTTGGATGAAAAATCTTATTCAATGTAATGTCCATTTCGTATGTATATTTATATATATGTTTTTATGCTGGAGCTTATTGTAGTTTATACACATTGCTTACCAAGAAACCTAATTTAGTAGTCTTGCTGTTTGTGGTATATATGGCCTAAAGCATACAATATTATGCCATGCTGTTGAGTTGACACTTTTTTGCCTGGTTTTTAATTCAAGTTAATACAAAATATAATATTTCTGAATAATAAAATATGTTTTTTTTGGCACAAAAGTTACTTTTGTATGTTTCTTTTAAAACATTAGATTATTTTAAACAATTTTGCACAACAAATGTTGATTTAAGTGGAATAAGTGAAATGTTGATTTAAGTGGATATTTGCAGCACACCTGTAAATATCGGATATATTACCTTGTTGGAAAAAAAATACATTTTATGTTTGTCAAACTTATTTGTTGTGTTTTTCATGTTTGCAACTAAGCTAAATGAATTATCTTGTCTTTTTAAAGGTCAGTAAAATAGCTGAGTAAGCATTTTAAAACTGGCTGTACACTAAACGCTGATTAGGAGTTGATTTCTTGATTTAGGAACCTTATTTTAGTGATTTACTTAAATGAAACCTCAGTCATTCTTCAATGCACTAAAACTGTTGTATATACAAAAGCCACAAAAGTGGCTCATTATGTGTAATAATTTGTACAAATAACACAACTAGATTGCTGGTTTTTAACTGCCAGCAGTCAACTAGACAGTAAGCAGGATATTTAAATTTTAAGTATGACACACAGGTCTTGATGTGTTCCACAGGTTTTCCTAAAGAGACTGCAGTCCACCCCAGCCTCACCTGGAATGAGTCGCATCGAACAACTAACAGATCACCAGCGGCTGATCGCAATGCCCAGCTACAGGTCCTATAGTGGGGGGTCCAGCAGACTATCGTGTAGTAAGTGCTTTCAAATCTGCAGAAGCTAAACTGCAGAACTTTTTTAATGTTAATATTTTTGTATATTTCAGGTACAGCAGAGTCTGAATATTCATTGAAAGTTCTCAGTTAAATGCATTGTTTTAGGAAGAGTTTGCTTCTTGTATGATCTTACTTTGTGAAAGTATTCCTTCCATTTGACCTTTCATTAGCATTTCACACATTAATTGCATTTACAGCAGCAAGTCTTTTGAGGTTCTTTCCAGCTTTGCAGATCAAGAGGACACAACTTGTCAGTTATGTTTTTTTCTTTTTTTTTAGTTTTGGTAAAAGCAGAGTTAGATTGGATGACTTTGACTTAGATCTGAACTTTGACTGGGTTCTTTTAACACATGGATATGCTCTATAGCAGAGGTCTTTAAAGGATAGCATCCTGGCACTGTTGGATCTCTGCTTCAGCACACCTTAAACAATACGTTTATTAGTTGTCGTCTGCGGTACATCACTGTGTGCAGTCTAAAAGTTCAAGGAATGGAACCTGTGCTGCAAACCATTACAGTGCAGCTCTAACCGTTTCTGACCCTGACTTTTTCAGTTGGAAATATTCACAGAAACCTGTATTTGTAAAGAGTTTAAACAGAGATGGACTCTGTTTATTGGATAAGGGATTTAAGACAGTTTGTTGTATTGGATTGTAACTATCAGATTAACAGAGGTCTGAATCAAGACGGACATCATGCTTTTGAAAAAACAATTTGTAAAAAAAAAAAAAAAAGCATTTTTCAGATTTGTTTTACTTCATATTTATCCAGTATTTTATGTTGGTCTATACATAAAATCCTAATAAAAACTGACACATTGAAATTTGGTCCTAACATGAAAATTAAAAATACCTTCAAGAAGAATTCATATTTCTGCAAAGCATTTTAAGCTTGTATTATAAAGACCAAGTAAAGTTCTGCAGAAAATACGATGTGAAGGTTTAGCTCAGACATCATCACTTTCGAGGTAAATTTGCACCATCAAACTGCTGCTTTGCATCTATATATATATATATATCCCTGCCTTCAGAACTCCGTATTTACTTTGAAGTACTCCAGTGTTGATTTTCAATCAGAGAAAAGGAGGATCAGCATGTGGTAGTGAGCAGCAGTTCTCTTAAACTGATGCTGCAGGTTTTGTTGCACGTCTGGGCTGCAGCTTCCAGATGGCTGCAGAGATTAAATTATCTCAGAAAACAGGGCAGTTTGGAGCATCAGCAAGCTGGGAATCACTTGTTCATTTATAAGTAAATTGCTTAATCTTCCTGTTTCCATCATTCCATAGCTTTTTAATTCCAGCAATGCCTTTTTTTTTACTATGGTGCGAAAAATTAAAACTTAAGCTGTAATAATAAAATGAGTTTAGTAAAGCCTGTGTGCTAAATGACTTTCTTGTTGCAAAACAATTGCTGTTTGTGTCTGTATCACCTAAGGGAATTCCTCTTGTTTTCCCCTCAGCGATGATAAGATCCAGGCCAATCATCTCCAGTGCAACTCTCATCAACACCTACACCACAAGGACATCTGTTCCTGGGTCAAATACACGAAGTACTAGCAGTCCAGGCTGGCGTTAAGAACTCTGCTAATAAAGAGCAATTTATTTGCTTAATAGCAGATGACCGTCACTTTTTGATGTTGATTAATTTGTACAGTGCAAAGCTTAGAACATATTTATGCTTTTATTGTTATTCCATGTAATTTACTCGTGCTGCTCTCTTAGTTTTCTGCTCTTCAACTATTTAGCAGTTTATGTTTTGATATCAAAGCCATTTGTAAACTATACTTATTTTAACCCTTTAATTCAGTCAGAATTATTGGCTTTAAAATGTTAATTGATGCTGTGGTTTGATATTGTCTGCAGAGTAATTTTTAAACAAAAAAGTGCAAATATGTTTTGTATTTGTTACTGTTTACACATGTGTGTGATTTGTGATCTAATAAAATGTTGTTTTAAACCAGAAAAAAAAGGAATTGCGTATTAATTTTTGGTTTATCCTGTTGAAGAAAAGATGTCAGTAATTTTATTGCAGAAAAGGCCATAACACTGGAGAGTCGCAGAGCAGTTACGTTTTCTAATTTTCGTGATGCAGTCCATTTTAAAGATATTCACGCTCCTTGAACATTACAAACCTCAATGTGTTTTAATTGTATGTAGTAGACCAACACAAAGTAACATGATTCATGAGTTCACAAATGCTTTACAAATAAAAATCTGAAAAGAGCGGCATGCATAGTTATAGACCCCTCTACTCTGATACCTTCAATGTAAAATCAATTGCTTTCGGAAATCACCTGTCATGTAATCTTATGTCTTTATCGTCAGGAAGACTGAGAACCACATGACACGTCAGAGAAAAAGTTATGGAGAAATTTAAAGCATAAGCTATGAAATAATATCCCTACCTTTAGAGATCCCATGGAGTACTGCTCAGTCGATGATTTAGCATGATGATGAAATAGCCGATAAGCTTTGATATGTGAGGTGGTGACACGTTTTAGACTTCCCAACAATGTTGTCATGGTCTATCACACAAATTGTACATAAAGTGGGAATTGCAAAAAAAAAAATAAAAATAATAAGGTGTGTCCGTACTTTTGCAGGGCTCCTCTTTTTGGACCTCGTTTCAATGAAGACTCCAGGAAAAACACAGATGGCATTAAATGACTTTAACCTTTTCATTAATCAGGCAGCTGAGTCGGGGCACACTTGCTCCATAAATACTGATGCTAAATGAAACCGGGTCGTCACATCAGTAACAAAGGAGCCCAAACATACCAGGGAAAAGTGGTGCTTTTAAGGACAACAGAGAGACTGGAGTATAGACTGAGTCTTTATTCTTAATAAATTAATGTTTAAGGTGGTCACAGCATATCATAAGGACCTCGGCCCCTCCTTAACACTAACAGGAGGAACGGTTGGCCTGTATCATAATCTGTTATCACATCATGTCCACCAGCTGTTGAAACCTAGAGACTTCCTTTTAGCAGATGGTTTATAATGTTATATATACACATTTCTGATGAGGCATAAACCCAGGTAAAATACACCTATCTGTTCTCCCCCAGCTGCTGCACAGGAAAGATAGCCTACAAACCCAGATTCTTAATTCACCAGGCCGGTGTCACCATATCACAAAAAAAAAGTATAAGACTTGAACAAAGTGAAGGGATTTCCTTGAGGTTTTAGGAGAGTGTGCTTATTTGGTGAACTTCTTGATCTCATCATACAGCACCAGCACAAAAGCACCACCCATGCCTCTGATCACGTTGGACCAGGCTCCCTTGAAGAAGGCCCGACCTCCCTCATCTTTGAGGATCTTCTTCCAGCAGTCGATTGTGCCCTTGTACATAATGTCAGCTGTGGGAATTCAGACATCGCCATTAATATCCACATGTTGGTGTGTGATTCTCCAGTTGTTGTTATGCGTACGGAACGTTTACAAGCAAAAGAGAAACTTGCCTCCTTTACGTCCCGACTGCATCATCATGCGACGTCTGACGGTGTCAAAAGGATACGAGACGAGACCCGCTACGGCCGTGACAGTCTGGGCGATCATCCAGCTGACAATGATGTGTGTGTTCTTGGGATCTGGCAGCATGCCTGCATGAGGGAAGTCAAAGCAAATAAATGCACACACACATCCGTTAAAACACGTCTTTCAGTTGCACCTCGAAAAAGTTTCCTATTGCTTTCTAGCATTTGCAGTCTAAAAGGAAAGTTTGTGCCCCTTGCTTGATGATGAATGAGACTAATGAACTAAATTTTGATGATTGCATGCGTTTTGATTGTTTGGGACAGCAGAAAGAGGGGCTAATTATTCATGCAAGAATCTCCACTGCACCACAATTTAGGTCCACCAGGTTTGTTTGTGCACCTTTTGCTGTGTCAAAGCATCCGAAGTAAGCCGCTCTGTAGATGATGATGCCCTGCACCGACACGTTGAACCCGAGGTAAAGACCCTTGAGGCCATCGGTTTTGAAGATCTTGTTAATGCAGTTTCCGAGTCCGGTGAACTCCCTCTCTGCTGGGCCCTTGCCGATGTCGGCGGCCAGCCTCGTCCTAGCGAAATCGAGTGGGTAGACGAAGCAGAGCGAAGTGGCCCCAGCGGCGCCGCCCGACGCCAGGTTCCCGGCAAAGTAGCGCCAGAACTGTGTCTTCTGATCCACGCCACCGAGGAAGATCTTCTTGTACTTGTCTTTGAAGGCGAAGTTCAGGGCTTGGGTGGGGAAGTAACGGATCACGTTGGCCAGGTTGCCTCTCCAGAAGGACACGAAGCCCTGCTCCTTCGGGATTCTAACAACACAGTCAATAATGCCTTTGTACTGCATATCAGCGGTGATCTGTTTGCTGGCATGCTGCACCTACAAGGGAGAAAACCAAGATGCCGCCTTTACACCTGACTTGTTTTCAGAAGAAGTGTGAAGAAAATAAATTTGTAATCTTGACCTTTTCATTGAACAACCTTGTTGAACACCCTGCAGCTTGCCATACATTATCTAGTGATCTGGTTTAGTTTGCCCAGCAGTCTTAAGGCACAACCTAGACACTCGAGACTTCACTGCGTATTGGATTACATATTTTAGGTTAAATTTAGCAATTCTCTTCCACTGAATATTACTGCGGCAATGTGCTTTAAACGAGTATAAATGAAATTGGAAAACATTGACAGGATATCATGAACACGTGCTTAGCAGTTTTATTCTGATCCCACATCATTTTACCTCCCCGCCATCCTTCAGACCTGTGCGTAAAACGATCTCCAAGTTGACCCTAAAGTGCCCGTTGCCATTACGCACACGATTATACGACCCTCCCTTGTTCTTAGTTCAACGTCTCCTCTTTTAAAGCAATTTCCTTGTAAATTTTATTTCTTGCTTTTCAGCGATCCACAAATTACGCACACTTTACGCACAAAACACGGCATGACCAACAGCTGGCTCAGCCCGTTTACCTGCAGCAGCAGCTTGACTCTCTCAATGGGAGCGACAGCTGTTTTGGAGATGGCAGCGGCAATGCCACCGGCCAAAAAGTCCTTCATGAAACTAATCACCGCGTCCGACATGGCTGGTTGATTTCCAGAGCAGTCTCCCTTTCTACTTGGCTGTTCCAAACTCGGCCCAAGATCTTCAAGGAAACCTTACGCCCGTCCAAGTGGACGAAGCACCCCTTCAGCAGTTCTTTATATATGAAGGCCGTTTATCGCGAGACGTTTGAGTGACAGATGTGCAGTCTGTCGAACAGACGAACGAGGCTGAAAAAATATCCGAGGTTGAAGTTCAGGTCGTGCGCCATATTTCTGGATCCAGGGGGGTCGCCCAGAGCCGGGGACATTTAAAGGGCATATTATGTGTTGGCAGATAAACGCTAAAATAAAATTTGGTGTTAATAATGAAAATTCCTCCTTAGGCATTCTTCGCAATAACGGTGGGGGAAACCAGGTCATCTCCACTTTTCAGCTGCAGCAAAACAAGGAAGGTGTTAAAGTGCATCTTAAGGAGCAGACCTGATTTATTACTTGTTTAAATGTTTAATATGTTTCACACATTTACTGCATGTGCTCTTTGCAGTTCTAATTTGTTCACAGCATTGGACAAATCAAATTACAAATCCAGTTACAACAAACATAAGAAACGTGCTTTGGGTGAAGCTGTGCATGAAGATGATCTGTGAAAACTGAGGCTCACCTTAGAGAAATTGTTCAACCTGGGAGACATTTTTTGAAACAGCATAGGAAAGTATAAAATGTATAGATTTTGACAACTAGCTTAAGCTAGTTCATAAGAATTCATAAGTATTATTCAAATGGTAATGCTATGAAACAGCAGAGAATTGCTTGGAACCAATAGATTCATGTCAAAAAGTATTTGTAATCTGTTGGACTAATTATTGTGGAGGTTAGTTATGCTAATTTAAATTCCGATCAGAGAATGCACCAAAGAAATTGAGGAAAGTCTGTAATTACACACAGATGGATGTTTTTAGTCTTTATTTCTGTTAATTTTGATGACTTTCTGCTTATAAATGATTAGGATATTACACCAGAGGATATTACATCTGACCAATAAAAACTTTAGAAAAAATTTTAAATCACAAATCAACTACAGAAAGTCTTCACAATGCCATTTTAACTTATAATTTAAAATAAAATGAAGCGATCATTAGATCCAACCTTGAAAATATGTATTGAGCTATTAAACAAATAGAACAAAATGTTTCCTCTTGCACTATCCATGCAAGAACCACTAGATGGCGTCAATTGACTATGTGTGTTCCATCCATCCATCCATCCATCCATCCATCCATCCATCCATCCATCCATCCATCCATCCATCCATCCATCCATCCATCCATCCATCCATTTTCTTTACACCCTTGTCCCTTAGTGGGGTCGGGAGGTGCTGGTGCCTCTCTCCAGCTAACGTTCCGGGCGAGAGGCGGGGTCACCCTGGACAGGTCGCCAGTCTGTCACAGGACAACACAGAGACAGACAGGACACACAACCATGCACACACACGCTATGTGTGTTCCTTCAAAAATAAATCAAAAAAGGACTTAAGAAATTGAGGTTACATCTTTAAGGTTATTACTGAAGATGGTACACCTTTTGCATTTGTTATGGTTTTGACCATAAAACTGAGCAATAAATTCACTGCACTCCAGTTGCATCCATCATCCGCAGATCTCAATCAAACACCTTTAGTGGCATAGGAAAATTACATTGCAGATATAGAGTTGGCAAATCTGCAACTTTGTGATGTTGTCATGTCAAGATAGAGCAAAATCTCTGTTTCTCAGATTTTGTTGAATCCATGTTGAAAAGGATTAAACTCTGAACTGGTACAGACAGGGTGTGCCTAGTGGATATTGTATTGATTTCAGATTTATTTTATTTAACTTATTAACTACACTTTTTTTCAGTTGAATTATAATACAGTGAAACAATGCTCATGAGATTCTACAATTTTTCTATTTTTTAATTATTATTCACAATTCAGCATAGTAATACACACACAAAAAAAATTGGATTTAGTGTTCTTTCATTCTGAAACATATAAAACCATCCATATTTTTTTTATATTAAATTTAACATAGAGGTCCGTTAGCTTTGTCAACAGTTGTTTGGTTTTTATCTCAAAGGGTTTTCAGCTGCTTGTGTACTTTCTCTGGATTCATCTGGTTCTATACTGAAATGTGTAATTAACTCGGTAGGGGGCGATATTGAGCTGAGTAATATTCAAAATCTTCATTGGTCTCCCCAGAGAGTAAATGTGGTACCCAATAAAACAGGTGCTTTTCCTCATTACTTACCACACAACAATAACAATTAAATCAGTACTTTACTTGTTCCCCACAGGGTGACATTTTTAAGTAGCTCCCAGCAAAGAGGTCAGAGGTCAGGCTCAGCTTCAGGGTTGCGGCCCCAGAGCTGGTTAGGAGTTCAACACCTGCAGCTTATGGCCAAGCAAAAGTCATACGCTATGTAGCTTAATATATGGAGCTTTATTATTTTTGCTTTGTCAGGAGAGTTAAAAACGTTTTTGTTGGCCATTGTGAGTTATCTGAATCT